AATCTGCACACCTACCCCTTCCACTCTGTCCCAAACTGCTCACCAACCGTAAGTACTCATCAAGAAAGAGGTGAGGGTGCCCAGCTGGTGTGGCTCAGTGGTTGAGCATCTATCTATAAACCAGGAGGTCGCAGTTCAATTCCGGGTTAGGGCATATGCCCAAGTTTCTGGCTCGATCCCCAAGAGGGGGAGTGCAGGAAGTAGCAAATCAATGATTCTCTGTCATCATTAATGTTTCTATCTCTCTCCCTCTCCCTTCCTCTCTAAAATCAATAAAAACTTAAAAAAAATGAAAAAAATGAAAGAGGTGAGGGTTTGGTAAAAAAAATTCCCATTCATAGAATTCATAAACAGCCCCAAGAGGTAGGTGTGATCACCCCTGTTTAGGGATCACAAATCGAGAATCACAGAAGTAATCACTAACCCAAGGTCACACAGCTGGAAAATAGCTCAGTTGAGAGGAATGAGCTTTCCTATCAATTTTCATTCATCCATCCATCCATTCATTCATTCATCCATTCATTCATCAGATATTTTACATGTCTCCAGCTTTGTTCTGGATGCTGGGGATGTTGTGGTCCCTACATTCGGAGTGTTTATATTCTAGTCGAGCACTAGAGTGAGATAAACTGAATGAGTAAGTGATGAAGAAAACCACCAGGAAGTATAAACCAGAGAATTAGAATTAAGGCAGAGAGACAGGGAGTGGTAAGGGTGATGGTGGTTTGGGGGCAGAGAGTGGGGAGGGGGCGATGCTTCCAGTTGGGAGCACAAGGACGTTTTCCTGAGGGAGTAACTGTCAGCTCAACTCTCTTGCAAAGAGCTCTGGCAAGTACCTTCCCCGAGAGGTGAAGCAAGGCTTGGCCAGGAACCCAAGGCAGAGAGTGAACAGGGAGGAATCCCTCGGCCTGCCTTCTCAGCTTCAAGTTTTCACAAACTGTTTTAAAATCTCTTCTTTAAGTGAAAAAACTAAGACAAACAAACAAATCCAGAGCTTCCTAAGCGAGAGAGCCAGTCAGTCCCTGACTCTGGGTCGTCCAGACTGCCCCAGGGTCAGGCTGACCCTCAGCAGTGAGCAAGGATGCAGGACCCTGAGTGTCAATGTCCCCATTGTCCCTCCAGGGACACTGAAAGGTGGTGGAAGGGACAGGAGCCCCAGCCCCACCAGCACATGGCAGTGAGGGGAGGATGGGTGGGGAGTGAGATCCTGCTGGAAAAACAGAGACGTGGAGAGGCATCAGCCTGGGCCTGGCCCCCACACCCAGAGGTGAGACCCTGAATTCGGTGACCTGTGGATTGGGTCAGCCAGTGGTGGGAAGGGGCTCTGTGTGGGAGAAAGTGCCCCAAATGTGAGGGCTCTACTTGAGCACTATTGTTATTGTCGATAAGATTATTACTCACTGGCCCTTTACCCAGGTTTCCTGCCTTGCCGCACCCAGCCTCGTCGCCTGGTCCCCGGGCGTGGCTATTCTCCCCTGAAAGGGGACCCAGGGCTGAGTCACCAATTGTCCCAGTAAAGAGTGTGGGAGGTAGGCTGGTGAGACATGGCTCTGCAGCCAGAGGGACCTGCGTTCAAATCCCAGCCCTGCCACTTATCAGCAAGTGACTCATCCTAAAGTTTCAGTTTCCGCAGCTGGAAAGAGCAGGTGCCCCAGGGAGTGGAGAGGAGTGGGTAAGTGGGCAGCCCAGGTGTTCGGTGTCCCTTCTGCCCCTCCCACGGGTGCCCCTTTGCAGAAACTGACCTCAGAGGAACAGGAAGCTCAATGAAGGCATCCTTCTGTCTGTCTCCTACATCCAGGGTCCATGAGAGACAGGGACAGACAGGGGTGCCTGTGAGTCTCCCCTTCCCTGTGCCTCTTCTCCAACCCCAGTGACGGGAAACTGGCCCAGAGGAGAGCTCAGAGGTGGGAAGGGCTTACCTTACTCCAGGGACTCAGTTCTGGCTGCCCTGAGACCCCATCTCTCCTCTTGGTCCAAAGCTCCATGTCTTTACCAACGTGGGATTCATTCATTCATTCATTCATTCATTCAACAAATACCTACTAATATCTACTATGTGATCACCAGGACCTTCCCTAGGTTCCTAGCTCACAGAGGGAAGCACTACAGACAGCCCTGCTCCGGACCCAGCCCTGGGATTGCCCACCCAACACCAATCCTATCAATAATCTCAACAGCCCCCATCTCAGCAGCTACTCATCCCTTAGAGACATTGACCTTGCCCTGTCTGAGAGGTAAATAAGTCCCGAGGAATCTAAACCGACCTGGGTAATCACTGGGGCCTCATGGTTTCGGGTGGCCGGTCCTGAGTGGGAGGGCTGCTGGGTGGTGGTGATAGGGCTAATTAAAAAGAGACGCAGAAGAGGCAGCATTTTCTCTGCTGGATGTTGACATGTCCTGGCTCGAGGTCTGGCTCACAGCTGCCACCTCGGAGCCAGGAGGAGCCACCTGGAAGACCAACCCAACCAACACAGAGAGGGTGGCCAGCCAGGTGCTGATGACGCCATCAAGCCACTAAAGAGCCACCTTCCCCCTGGACTGATTGTCTTGTGAGCTCATAAATGCCCTCATTGTTGAAGCCCATTGAGTCACAGTTTTCTGCTGGAAGCTTCCTAATCAGTATAAACAGGGCGGGGTGCCAGGGGGCAGACTGGGAAGGGTCTGGGGTGGCCTCCTGGCTCTGCCTTTTGCTGGTTGCAGGACCTCGGGCCTTTCCTGTCCCCATTTCTGAGCATCAGGTTGTTCAGTTTTAAATGGGGGATAAATGCCCATACCTGCCAACACTGACCTTGTCAAAGCCACAGAGCCCGGAACATGGGAGCTCTGATGGATTGTGGAATCGCCAGCCCTCAGCCTTGGATGAAGTGGACCTCATGCATGAGGATCTAAGTGAACAGCTGCACAGTCATACAGAAGGGAGAGAGGAGTTGGGTGGAAAGAGGGGAACATTGATGAACTATTCTCCTCCTGGCTTACTAGTAGCTTGGGGGTGACTGCAGATTTGGTTACTGCCTAGTAACAACAACAACAATGCAGTTAACATTTAAAGAGGGGTTACCATGTGCCAAACACTGTGCTAAGAGCGTAGGCATTAATCCAGGGGCATCCATTAACATTAACCTCATCTTATTTTCTTCTTAATTTCATTTATACTTCACACACAAGGAAAGCAAGATCCCTCCTGGAAGGTCACATGGCTAGCCAGTGGTACAACTAAAATTTGAACTTGGGTCCCATAGTCCTTCATTCCTATTCTATTGTCTCGTACGAGGCACTGAGCTTCACATAGAAGGAAAACTGCTTGGCCAGCTGTTTCTCATCTGGGCGCCACAGGCCGGAGGTTGTGGGTGGCTCCAGGTGCCTCAGCCCTGTTGCTGGAGACATGGCTGCTTACATATGAATGACAGATTGTGGATCCTTATATTAAAAAGCTATCCATTCATCCATCTTCCATCCATCCATCCATCCATCCATCCAAACTCAGTTTCCCTAGAAGCCATGCCTGGGATGAGAATTCTTGGGCAAGTGAAGGATTTATGGAGGGAGTGCTCTCACGAGAAACCTGTAAGGGACAAAGGGCAACAGGATAGGCCAGGAGACAAAGCAAGCAGAGGTGGTTCCAGATGTCTACCCTCAGCCTGATGCCAGGAGGAGCTCTGGGGCATGCACTGTACCACCCAGGTGGTCCCACGCAGATGGGGGTGGGCAATGATCCTTTCCCTGGTATTATATTCCATATGCATTGGTTAGAGGTGGGTGATATGGAGGGTAGCGGGGATAGGCAAGGTAGTTCCCAGCAGACAAGGTCAATCCTTAAGAGGCAGATGTGAACAGCTCACAGCCAACATCTGGCTGAGCTGGGAGTAGGGGAACTGGGCCAGAAGGGGATCTGAAGTGAAGCACTAACGGCGTCTGCCACAATCTCCATTTGATCCGTTAGCATGAATGGAACACTATTACGTAGAGGAGCAGAGGAAACAAAGCTGTGACAGACACAGCCTCCGGCCTCTGGGAGCTCCAGTCTAGTTGGGAGAGATCAGAGAAGTCCAGACAATGATAAGTCCACTCAAGGTCCAGCTTGGTAAACTGCAGACCCATCAAGTGCTATGGGAGCTCGGAGGAGGGAGTGAGGCCTGGGGGCCACGAGGAATCAGCCAGGGGAGACTTCTGTAGGAAGCAACCCTTGGAGCCTGAGGAGCCTCAGGCGGGCTTAGCCACCTGGAAACGGCAAGTGGGGCAAGTGGGGCATTTCTTCGGAAAGCCCACCTGCGCAGAGGCCTGGGGCAGAAGAGGAAGGGCCTGGAGGACATGTGGCCTGTGCTCGCGGGCTTCGTCCAGCCCTTCCCCCAAGAGGCATTTACACAGCCCCTTCCTGGCATTGCTTTGGGTACCAGGGATGCAATGAGTCCTCGACAGGCATGGGCCCCGCCCACCAGGACCTCAAGCCTAGTGGGGAGAGGGACACAGCGCCAGACAGGGCGAGGAGGGTGGGGGTGGGGGGCTCCAAACTCCTGCGAGAGGCCCTTCCTGGGGTGAGGGAGGGCCTGAGAGGTTTAAGTAGAGTCGGGAGGACAGACAGATCAGTGCTGCCCATTAGAGAGGCCACTGGGGCCGCAGCTTAGACAGTGTATTAGAGGAGTGAGACTGAAGTGGGGAGGCCTGGTGAGTGAGTGGCAGTGACAGGCCCCCAACACCTGCTGCTTTGGCCCAAACACCTTCCCCCTGGCTCCCTGAACTTGGCTTTTCCTAAGATCCCAATCCCCCTCCGAGGACACAGCTGCTGTTGGGAGATTTATTTCAGAAGGTCCAAGAGGCACGGCGGGTGGTGGAGGAGGGGCTGACTCCCGCGCCCTGGGGGTGTGTTAAGGGAGCCAGGCTGCTTCAGGGGGTTGGTTACTTCTGGGACAGGGGTGTCAGCAATCCCGTGGGACTTCTGAGGACCCGGGTAGGGAGGGTGGGACAGGTGGGCAGGCAGCGTGGGACAGCCCGGCAGGCTTCTTCTAGCACGTAGGGGTTTGGCCCTTGCAGCGGGACCTGGAGAAACGGACGAGACGGAGCTTCTTCTGGTAGGTGCCCAGCTGACGCTTCAGGCAGAAGGCCACCTCCTTGTCACAGTCGCACAGCTGCTGCTCACACCAGCTCCCTTTGTCAGCTGTGGGGTGCAGGAGGGGGGCTCAGTGACCGTCCATTCCTGAGGCCGAGCCAGGGCTGGGTCTAGGGTCCCTGGAGGGAACCTCTGAAGGCAGTGCCATCCTCACTCAGCTTAAGGTGTCCTTCCCAGCTACTTGGACTCTAGCTGCGTGACCTTGGGTACCTACCAAGACCTCCCCGTGTGCCTTTATTTATTTGCACCTACATGTGGCCAGCCTGGGTTGGGAGTGGGGGCGGGGAGACAGGACTGAACACAACTGACCTCTGAGATTCACACGCCCGTGGGGCAGCAGGTATTTGAGAACGGCAGAAACGAATATCAAGCTGTGCTCTATGGGAGTCAGAAACAATGCCAGGGCCACAGGGCAGGAACGCAGTGGGCCAGAGCCATTGGAGCTGAGGTCAGAGGGTCTCTCTCCCTATGGGAAGCCAGGTGGAGGAGGGGGGAGTGTTCCAGGCTGATGGAACAGCCTGTGCAAAGACTCTGAGGCAGGAGGGACCAAGGTACTTCAGTTTCATTATCTGTAAAATGGCGATGATGAGAAGCGCTGCCTGGGGGGCGGGGGCGGGGAGGCTGTGGTGAGAATTAAAGTAAGAAGGCAAAGCACTCAGTACAAGTAAGTGCTCGATAAATGCCGGCTATTACAATTCGTGTCATTGTTATTATTATTAAGCCCTCAGTGAACAGGGGCAGTGGAAATGTGCCCATTTGATTCCCAGCCCTGGACCTGCCACCTGCTTCCTGCACGGACCCAGGGGCCAAGTGACCTGGGATGCAACCCAGGCTCTGCTACTGGCAGCGGTGTGACCCCAGGCAAACACTTCCTCACTCCATTTCCTTGTCTATAAAATAGAGCTCATCAGGGTGGGGCTGCCTCCTGGCTGGGCTGCTGTGAGGATCAGTGATGATGGAAGTAGAAACAAGATCATCTATGGGGCATGCCCTGCGGCAGGCATCTGTGAAGCTCATTCTGTCTGCCCTCATTCTAGTTCTTGGATTAACACTATGGGGTAGAATAGAATATTGTTCTCATCCTCAGTTCACAGATGAAGATACTGAGGTTCAGAGAGGTTGAGCAAGGCACTCAAGGTCACACAGCTGGAATCTAAGCAGAGGTCTGCCAGCCTTCCAGATCCTAAAGGAGCCAAAGCCCTCATTGGACCTCTCCATATTCCCACCCCTACTCCTGCCTCTCCTCCACCGCCCCACTATTGCCACTGGGCATGCGAGAGAAACAGAGAGGTTGCGTAGCTTGTGCATCATTGCACAGCATATGAAAGCAGAACTCCCTTCCTCAGTCTACAACTCGAATCCCCAGTCTAGACACTCACAGCACTGGATGTCCCCCTGGGAAAAGGTGTAGTTGTAATGGTCCCTGAAGTAATGGCAATGGTGGAGCTTCAGGTGACGATAGCAGCAGTCGTGAGCATGGCAGCACCTGGAGGGAGAGGACAGGAGGTGGGGCAGGGAGCACAGACGCACTGCATCGTCCTTAGCCGGCTCTGTCTCAGGAAGCCCCTGCCCCAGAGGAGAACCCGAGCCCCCTTGGAAGAGCCAAGGCCTCGAGGGGTCTAGTCTTCGGCGTGCTCATGCTGGCTAACACTTACAGGGTGCTTCCTAGGGCCCAGGCACCTGCTTTTTCTACAAATTATCTGTTAATCTTCCCAACCACCTTATGACAGGGGAACTAGGACAATCCTCATGTCACAGCTGAGGCAACTGGGACTCAGGGAGACCACGCCACTTGCCCGAGCTCACACAGCCTGAAAGTGGTGGGTCAGGGAAGTGACCGGGCCTGGCCCAGGCTCTCATCTCTCCTCTGGCCGATTCCCAGGATTGTGGTGAAGATCCGATAAGATAATGGCAAAATGAGGCTGGCCCTTTAAAAAACCCCATGCAATGGCAGCAGGCAGTGTGTGTGGGTATTCTAATTAGATTAGGGGTTGAGAGTGCAAGTGGGGGGAGGGGGGCGGTCTTCAGAGACTTTGGGGAACCCTCTAGAAGGCAGGCTCCAGGAGGGTTGGGGCTGTGTCGAAGCTTAGCAGAGTTCCTAGCACATAGTACAGAACGGATCCACAGAATGAATAAATAGATGGAGAGGACAGGATTGCCGCCCGTGGGCCTGCCTGGGAAGGGTTACCAGTCCGTGGCATCGAGGGGTTGGCCTTTTCCACCACGTCCACAGTGACAGCCGTAGTACCAATAGGAGGTGAGGGGTGTCTTCCCGGTCACTTGTTTGACCATCTTGTTCAGGTTCAGAAGCCCGCCCTGGGTTGGAGTTACACCTGCCAAGGAGCCCAGCAACAAGGAGAGGACGTGAATCCCAGGGGAGATCCGTGCACCCCTGGCTGGCACCTCTGCTCTATCTGGTCCAAACCAATGACCCTGGATAACAAAATGACAACAACCACTACATCCATTAAAAAATATAGTGACAGTGAGTGCTTGCCATGGGCCTTTTCATGTAGCAATTGATTGACTCCATCTCATCCCATGAGAAAAAGATTATTTTTAAAAAATATATATTTTATTGATTTTTTACAGAGAGGAAGGAAGAGGGAGTTAGAAACATCTATGAGAGAGAAACATTGATCAGCTGCCTCCTGCACACCCCCTACTGGGGATGTGCCCGCAACCAAGGTACATACCCTTGACCAGAATCGAACCTGGGACTCTTCAAGTCCACAGGCCGACGCTCTAGCCAGTCAGGGCAAGACTATTTTTTTAAATAAGTCAACTTAGATGTAGAGAAAAGTTGCAAAGATCATACAGAAAGTTCTCATAGAGCCCTCACCCACTTTCCTGTAGTGTGGTATCATCTTACATAATTGTGGTGTATTTATGAAAACGCAGAAACTGACAATGAATACTATTTTTAATCCCCAGTTTAGAGAGGAGCAGATGGAGGCTCAGTCACTTGTTCCAGGTCATAGTAGCTGGTAAGAGGAGGAACCTGGATAGAGACCCAAGGCACCCTTTCTAAAATCACATACGTTGAGGTGCCAATTTGCTAGCAGCCACATTTTTACATTTGATCTTCTGCTAAAGATCAAATAGAAATCGCCTCATCTCCCACCAAGTCAACAGAACCCACTTCCCAGGTTCAAGGGAGATCCATGAACGTGGACGCGGAGTGCTGTTTCTATGCAAATGAGTTTTATTATTTGGTCAAAAGGACGGAGGGGAACAAGGTGAGATCATTTCTGTAATTTTTGTCCAAGGTGCCACAGGTGCCAGCTCGGCAGGTCCCTGGATTCTGAACCTTCGGCTCTGACCTTCACGGCAGGCCAGAAGGGCACCAGAGCTTGGCCACCCAGGCCTCTCTGGCCAAAGCCACTGTTCTAAGGGACTGGAAGCCGCTGATGGCTCCTTGCAAGGGGCAGAGGGTTAAGGGCTTGAGGGGCCAGGGCAGTGGAGATTAAAGCAGCAGTTCAGTCTAGGAAAAAGATATTATAGGGCCTACCTGTGTCCCTCCTTCCCTTTCCAGCTGTGCTCCTGTCCCCACTCACCAGCAAACACCACCAGCGCGCACAGCAGGGGTAGTTCCATGATCCCGGCCCAGAGGAGGGGAAGCCACTGCTGGAAGTCCTTCATGCAGGCAGCCCCTTATATAAGAGCCACCCCCACCCCCACCAGCTGAGCCTGCCCCTGTCCCTTCTGCTCTAGCTCTCGTGGAGGCCACCTCTGCTCCTTCTGTTTCCTCTTTTCTGGCAAGGGGGAATTTTAAAACAAAATTATTTTTAACATCTATTTTTTAAACTTTCTGATTGCAAAAGAAGCACATGATCAGTGTAGAAGATTTGGAAAACATGAACAATAAGAAGAAATTAAAAATCACCTGTGGATTCATTAAGCAGCATTACGGGTTCGGTGTATGTCCTTCTAGTTCCATTGCTCTCTCTCTCTCTCTCTCTCTCTCTCTCTCTCTATATATATATATATATATATATATATCTCCACACTTTTCCTGACCAAACTAAGAAGTTGTTATTTGTAGCCTCTCTTTTCACTTACCAATGAAATTTGAACACAGTTCTATGCCATTAAATATTCTTCTGCAGAAACATTTGAAAGGCAGTCTCGTATCCCATGGTACAGCTAGGCCATTCATTTAATGAACCCCATATTGATGGCCATATGGGTTACTACTCTAGAGTGCACAGTGGTACAGTGGAAGAAACCACTGAGCCGAAATCTCAGTTCATGTCCAGAACTGTTGCTGTAGGATCTATCCCTAAAGTGGACTTGCCAGGTCAAAGCACATGCACAATTTGAAGGCAATTGACATGTGTCGACAACTTACAGAAGGTCCGCCCAGTTCACATATGGGAATCCTAATGAACACATGGTGTGGATCCAGCCTAACTAGGGTGGGGGTGCTGATGGCAGGACACACGGAGGCACCACGAAGAGATGGTCTGCCTCAATGGCTCCACGGAAAACCCTGCAAGGTTTGATGGAGAGCCCATAGGTAACAGAAATTGGTTTTCTTCTATGCCCACGAGATGGCTGTTCAAGGGCATAGAGCCCAAGCTGACCTTTTGGCTGCCGGCTAACCAGGTCACCCCAAAAGGTGCACCAGCAAGAGTCACTGCTGGGAGCTGTTTCCTCTCTCAACTCTCTTCTACATCAGTTCCTTGACTCCATCACTGACTGATCACCTAATGTGTGAGAAAAGAATTGGAAACAGCAGGCAAAATAAGTATCTCTGGCATATTCTTTGACATGCCTCCCCCATGTGTGCTCAGTAGTCATTCCCTTCTACTCTTGCGAATGGGGTCCTACCCTACGAGCAGTCTTCTAGATCTGGGCTCTTGGCGGGGCATGTGGTACCTCCCAGAGCTTCCTCTCATCTGGTATCCTTTGGGTAGGAGCAAACGTAGGCAGGAACAGAAGGCCTTGTTGATTCCAGGAAGCTTTTCCCTAGTGGGAGAGACGCCATGATATTGATGCTGTAAAGGGGCCTCAAAAACATTTTCCCCGGACGCCTCCAGAGGCCCCAAGGCACATCTGGACGGCTGGGTTTGGGATCAGAGGGACCTGGCTCAAACTCTGGCTCCTTCTCTTACCATCTGTGGGACTCTGGGCAAATCACTTTACTTCCAGGAGCCTTGGTTTCCACGTTTGCAGGACAGGGACAATATGGGGACAGCAGTCCCTCCTTCCTCTGATTGCTGTGGGATTCAGGGAGCATTCAGCACACTGCACCAAGCCTCACCCATGGGGAGAATGCCGTACGGCAACCACACAGGGGTTACATGGCGTTTTGTGGAGGTGAAGAGGATGAATAGGTGGGAGCCCAAGCCAGACTGCCTGGATTCCAGCTGCTTTGCCTGGAGCAAGGAGCTCAGCAATTTGTCTTTTGTTCCTTCCATGTATAATGGGGGTGATGATAGTATCTACTTCATAGCCTTCCTGTGGGGATTAAAAAATATGATATGTGAACAGGGCTTGGTCCATGGCTAGAGCTTAATAAATGTTAGCTATGGTTACTCCCATCATCACCATCTTCATCAGCCACACCATCTCTGCTTATAATAGAACTAGAGGCCCGGTGCATGAAATTCGCACACAAGTAGGGTCCCTAGGCCTGGCTGGCGATCAGGGCTGATCAGGGCTTTCTGGCTGCCCGCTGGGGCCTTCCTTCTTTCTGTGCCACCCCCTCATGGTCAGTGCACATCATAGTGAGCGATCGAACTCCCTGTCGAACTCCCAAGGGGACACTTTGCATATTAGCCTTTTATATATATAGATAATTTTTTCCTCTGCATTGTCTAATCTACTGTTAATCCTATCTATTCTATCCTTCATCTCAGACAGTGTATTTTTTTCTCTCTAGAAATTTAATCTGGGTCTTTACCTTCTGTGTTTCTACTTAATATGCATAAGCTCTCCTTTATCTTCTTATGCATAGAGAATATAGTTATAATAACTGTCTTAATGTCTGTACCTACTAATACCATCATTGGGGTCATTTCTGGGTCTGTTTCTATTGATTGATTTTTTTTTTCCTCATATGACTTAAGATCACCACTGCTCATTAATATAGACTAGAGGCCCGGTGCACAAAATTTGTCCGGGAGGGGGGTCCCTCAGCCCAGCCTGCCCCCTCTCACAGTCTGGGAGCCCTCAGGGGATGTCCTACTGACAGGGGATGTCCCATGGGGAGCGGGCCTAAGCCACAGTCTGGCCTCCCTCTGTGGGAAGCGACTGGGCTGATCAGGGGAAGGCGCCACCCTCATCACTCCACTGTTGCCACAGCTGCCAAGGTGTTTTTATCAACACGGACGCCAGTCCCTTCACCACGAAAAAATGACAACTTTCTTTAGGCATTTTCAAGATGTCTCTTTCATAGGATATGACATTTCTTTCTTTCTTTTTTTAATCCTCACCTGAGGATATTTTTCCATTGATTTTTAGAGAGTGTGAAAGAGAGGGAAAGACAGAGAGAAACATCAATGTGAGAGGGACACTTCGATTGGTTGCCTCCTGCATGAGCCCTGACTTGGGCCCTGGCCAGGGAGAAGCCTGCAACCTAGGTACATGCCCTTGATCAGAATTGAACCTGGACCCTGTGGTCCGCAGGCCGAGGCTCTATCCATTGAGCCAAACCGGCTAGGGCAGGATATGACATTTCTTAGCCCCACCAGCAGTGGACCTTCGTTTTTTCCTCCAGGAGTGAGATGGGAAAACCCTAGATCACCTTCTTGGATTCTTTTTACCCAAGTTACCAAGAACACTGTGAGTGGCGTACCGGGAGCTTAGCCAATGAGCAGTCAGAAAAGGTGTTCCCTCTGCAACTCACGCGCAGAGGTGGGACTGCTGGTGTACACCGAGGAGGCTTGGGCAGGCCCCCTGTGTGTGTATCTGCTCTAGGCCTGCTCCAATCACACTGCTGTGGCTTGAGCAGGCCCCCCTTTGTGTGTGTCCGCTCCAGGTCTGTGCCATCCATGGCTTGTCTCACTGTGCCTGCAGTCCCCTCCTTCCCACCTGCACGCACAGCTCCTCCTGAGTGGCAGTGACTGTTATGGTGTCCTGGCTAATTTGCATATTACCGCTTTATATATACTAGAGGCCCAGTGCACAAAAATTTGTGCACTCGGGTGGGGGGGGGGGACCCTCAGCCAGGCCTGTGCCCTCTCGCAGTCTGGGACCCCTCGGGGGATGTCCACCTGCTGGCTTAGGTCCATTCCCCGGGGGATCGGGCCTAAGCTGGAAGTCAGACATCCCTCTGACAGCCCTCGGGAGATGTCCCCTTGCTAGCGGGGAGCAGGCCTAAGCTGCAGTCGGACATCCTTAGAGCTGCTGAGGAGGCGGGAGAGGCTCCTCCCACCACCGCTGTGCTGGCAGCCGTCAGCCTGGCTTGTGGCTGAGCAGAGCTCCCCCTGTGGGAGTGCACTGACCACCAGGGGGCAGACGCTCAATGCAGGAGCTGCCCCCTGGTGGTCAATGTGTGTCATAGTGACCAGTCATTCTGCTGTTAGAGTCAATTTGCATATTACCTTTTATTATATAGGATAGAGGCCTGGTGCATGGGTGGGGGCTGGCTGGTTTGCCCTGAATCAGGGTGTCCCTGATTAGGATGGGGGTCCCTCTGGGGTGCCTGGCCAGCCTGGGTGAGGGGCTGAGGGCCATTTTCAGGCTGGCCACACCCCCTTTGGGGGGGGGGGTTCCCACTGGGGTGTCTGGCCAGCCTGTGTGAGGGACTGATGGCCATTTTCAGGCTGGCCACATCCCCCCGGTGACCCAAGCTCCCAGCCTCTCCTTTTTTTCTTTTTCTTTTCTTTTTTTCCCCCAGCAGGTATCTGGGATTTATTTATCTTCTATAATTGAAACTTTGTAGCCTTGAGTGGAGCCCAGTGCCAGCCAGGGCAGGTGGGAAGCTTGGCTTCCTTCATCTCCAGGGGCAACCCAAGCCTCTTGCTCGCTCCAACTCCGTGGCCACTATCATCTTTGTGACGGAGTGATAGAGTGATGGTTAATTTTCATATTCCTCTTTTATTAGATAGGATATAGATCACACTATGATAATAAAACTGTCTATTTTTAAAGGGTGGTTTCTTTTTAAAAATATACATATATTTTATTGATTTCAGATAGGAAGGGAGAGGGAGAGATAGAAACATCAATAATGAGAGGGAATCATTGATTGGTTGCCTCCTGCATGCCCCCTACTAGGAATGGAGCCTGAAACCTGGGCATGTGCCTTGACTGGGAATTGAACTGTGACCTCCTGGTTCATAGGTCGATGCTCAGCTACTGAGCCACACCACTTGGGCCAGGGTGGTTGCTTTCAAGTAGATTTCCAGAAGTGAAATTGCTGGGTCAGATGATACAAATGTTTTTAAGCCTCTTTCTTTCTCTGAATTCTATAGAAATTGAGAGCCCCTGCATCTGCCTCCATCAGCAGCATGTGCGTATTCATTAAGCCTGGTGGTTTCTTGAGACGTGTCAGCAAATCTGTGGGTTTTTATGTCCCTGGGAACAGGAGAAAAACACTTGACAATGCACCAAGATCTCCAGGTGGTGGGCGCAAAGCAGCACGAGGG